ATTTTATCGTCAATAGAATTCTTTATTAAATATTACTTTTTGTTCTTTCACTTTAAATTACTAGAAAGTAAGTATATGATTTATTAGTAATATATATGTGTTTTATCATTGATCTATTAAATATTACTTTCTTGTTTTTTCTCTCTCACATGTTTAAGTATTAGATTATAAGTATTACATATTTTATCGTCAATAGAATTCTTTATTAAATATTACTTTTTGTTCTTTCACTTTAAATTACTAGAAAGTAAGTATATAGTTTATTCGTAATATGTATACGTTTTTATCATTGATCTATTAAATATTACTTTCTTGTTTTTTCTCTCTCATGTGTTTAAGTATCAGGTTGTAAGTATTACACATTTTATCGTCAATAGAATTCTTTATTAAATATTACTTTTTGTTTTTTCACTTTAAATTACTAGAAAGTAAGTATATAATTTATTTGTAATATGTATGCATTTTATCATCGATAGAATTCTCTATTAAATATTTTTTCTCTTATGTGTTTAAGTATTAAGTCGAAAGTATATGATTTATTCATACACATTTTATCATCAATAGAATTCTATTACTTTTATTTCACGTCTCCCATTGTCTTTTGTTTTGCCTGTCCCTTCTCAATATTTTATTTATTCACTAAACCTTTCACTAACAATTTCCTTCTATTTCTTAAAAATATACATTCACTTCATAATATATTTGATCATTGACTTTCAACTCAGTTGCCACTAAAGCACTTTAATTCACAAGTTTTAGCAAACACAGCCTTGTCTTCTGTATAGTATAACTTCAACAAATTCAATGTGAGTAGAACTTTCGTCTACTCAGGTCTTATGTCATAGCAGTTCTTAAAACTCTGTGACAGTAATAGTAAATATTTAATCTTGAATAACTTATTTTGAATTTGCTAAATTATCAAATCTTTGTACTTACTTGACTAAATAATGTGTAATATAAATTAACACAGAAATATAATATAATGTAATTTTGATGTCTTTTATTTAATTTAATATAATCTAATATTTTTTTCTTATATGTATACATAGTAACTTAATCGAATAATGAAACCATAGAGTTAATTAGATTAGCTAGTAATAATTTGAGTGATAGAATTAATTTAACCATAATGTAATGATTTATTGGTTTATAAAAAATAATAAATAATCATAGTTTTCTTAATTATAAGTCTTATTTTCTTGATCGTAAAATTATCTTTTCTAATAATAACTGCATATTTTTTGATCATAAAACCTTTTCTGTAATAGATGAAATATATGAAATTTGTGAAGTTGATGAAATTTGCGAAGTTATACATCAAAAAAAAGAGGTAACAAAATTAATGTTTATGGTTTTTTTATGACTAAAGAAAAGAAATATAAGAATACTTATTACTGATGTTGTGATAGAAGAAAATCCGATAGATGTACAGGTCGAGCAATTACACAATTATGTGATAATAAACATTATCTTTTCTCGACATGAACATGTACCAGAATTGCATAAAATTGAAGTTGCAAAGATTACAAACCAAATAAAAAGCAAGCTAAAGAAACGAGAGATAAACCTATAAAAATAGTTCAGGACAACATTATTAATACACCTGAAGAGTTTCGTCCATATATCCCTTTATTAAATACCTTGCATAGAACGATTAATCATGTTCATCAAGTAGATTTATTACCTCAACTACAACATATTACTGAATTAAATGTGCCAGAATCACTTAGATCTACTTTAAATGGCAATTTGTTTTTAATTAAAGATCAAACAAGTAATGATAGACAAATACTTGTTTTTACAACAACTGAAAATATTAAATACTTATCTCATGCATTATATTGGATTATGGACAGGACATTTCAGACTGTTTCTACAATTTTTTATCAAATGTATACTATTCATGCTCCCGTCGGCTTTGCAGATAATTCTCAAATACTTCCTTTTGTTATTCCTTAATGATGAACAAGTCTGCAGAGCAATATAAATTTCTATTTGAAATATTAATTAATTTTGCAGAAGAAAATGAATTAGAGTTAACTCCAACAAGAATTATTATGAATTTTGAGTTCACAGCTATTAATATGTCACGTTATATATTTCCTGGTATGATTAATAAATCTTGCTTTTTCATTTAAGTCAAAACGGTTGGCGAAGAGTACAAAAATATGGATTAGCAAGTAAATTATCTATTCTTAAATTAAGTTAAAATTTATGCATATGATCATTGTTTTAATTTACTAAAAAATTTTTTTTTATTGTTATTTATTATTGTACATATGTGCATACATACATATGTATATAGTTTAATATGGGCGTAGTGAAAACTTTAGTATTGCAATATGGTGCCTATTTGCATTGGCTTTTTTGCCAGTCCATAAAATCTGAGAAGCTTATGAATATTTAAAGCTGCATATGCCTTCAGAAGCAGAGAAACTTGTTTGTTGGTTTGAAGAAACATATATGCTTGGTAAAGCTCGTTCAGATATAGAAAGTGACCATATCATTCGTATTGCTCCTCTTTTTCCACCCCAATTGTGGTTAGTATACGATTCTGTGGATATTGGTATTCCAAGAACTCAGAACGTAGTTGAAGCTTGGTACCACTGTTGGGCAACACTAGTTGGTAATAAGCATATAGGAATATATACATTTATACAAGAGCTTTAAAAAAAGCAACAAAATATTAAAGCCCAGATTGAATGCATATTTCATGGTAAACAACATATTAAGCCAAGACAAGGCTTGGTTGAAAGAGAAAAAAGAATTACAACTATAATAAATAATCGAAACAATCATTTATTAATGGAGTTTCTCACTGGAATCGGTCATAATCTCTCACTTTAATCTTTTTTATTAAGATTAAATTATCATTATGCAGAATGCACCAAAAGAATTATTCCAACAAAATTTTGTACAAATATTACAATTAGAATGAAAAAACAAATCAAATATTTTGTACTATAGCCTTGGATCTTGA